GATGTGTGATCTAGAAAATGTTTCTGTCAGCCATACTAATAATTTTGGCTGCTATATATAAACTGTTTTCTGTGCAGAGAAGAATGAGCGCAGTCAGACGGGCCACAGCTACGCTTTATTTCTGCTTTCACTTTATCAGCAGAGCATTAGTGAGCAGAACAATCACCAAACTGTTAGGCTCAGCAACACGACGCTAACAGTTGTTAGCTTGTTCATTCCATTCTAGACCCCTTTCACCTACTGTGGCTGATACTCCACACCGAGCATTAGATCAGCTGCTGTCTGAACACACAGAGAAGCCTTCTTCCAGCTGTTTTCATCTTTTAGCTTTGGATGAAGTTTTCCCACTTAGCTGACTTTAAGCTGTTTCATACTACACCGGTTAGCCCTGCTTTAAGGGGCCAAAGGCATCCCCTCCATCCGCTACCACACTACTGAAGCTGCAGAGGCAACAGCTACAGGGAGCGCTGGGGGGGTGGGGGGTGGCAGAGACTGCAGGAGGAGTATAACAGAACGTCAGTGGTTCTGAAGCCGTGACTTGTCCATCCTGGGGGAAAAGCTTGGAAGCAGTAAGCAGCCCCTGGTACCAAGCCCCGCCCCTACAGGTAGATCCACACATCTAGATGCAGCAGGTCAGATGTTTCACAAACGGGGCTCTAATCAGATGGAAATGGCTCCTTTTAAAAAGCTGCTCAGCTGAGCAGAGACGAGTAAACAGCTGGGTCTCATTTTCAGCATGAAGGAAACATTTCAGAAGCTTAAATATAAACCAGTGAGTACGTTCAAGAAAATTATTTACTTTACACCATTTTAAAGATGATTAAATATGAATGATTAATGTTTGAATGAGTCTAATCCACTCAGGGTCATGGGGATAAATATCTGAAGCAACGTCTCATGACAACATCCCCCTTCAGCAGCCATTAGCAACTAATTCTGCTCTTTAAAGTTCGACAGACTGTGGTGAAGCGCTTCAGACTGGTTCTTCAGCATTTCCACCATCATCTGTCCCTTTGGGAGCGCTGGCTTAGTGGTCAGAGCAGCGCTCTGCGCTCTGAGAAGGTTGCAAGTTCCTGGTTCAAGACCCCTAAGCCCACACTGCTCCCCAGGCGCCACACAATGGCAGCCCTCTGCTCCCTAAGGGGAGGGGTTAAATACAGAGAGGGAATTCCTCCTTTATTTCCGTCCATTATCTGCATTCTGTCAGCAGTGTCTTTTCTGACACCTGTGCAGGTATTCAGCCCATATGTGACGCAGCGTCTGACCTTCTTGTGTGCACTGAAGATTCTCCGTAACGTGTCGGGGTTCTTCTCCGCCTGCTTGCCCATGGCCGGCCTCCTGGGACCGCTCGCCAGCACTCGAAGGCTGTCTTCTGAGAAGTCCACCGTACCTGCAGGAAACCAGATCACCTCCATTAGCCCTCTCTGCTTCTAGGCTCCGCCTGAGCAGGACGCTCAGCAGAGGCTCTGATGACTTCACTGTTTGGATCAAAGCATTCCTCTGCTGGCGCGCCATGTTTACATTTCTACACAGATACATTTACTGGTTTCTCTAGCGCTGATGTTCCAGTGGGAAGATTCCCGTTTCCTGGGAGAAACTAAACCTGAAGCCTTCAGGGGAAAAGAGGCTAGTTTCTCTGTGCAGCTGAACAGAGAGTTCATCAGGAGAACAAACAGTTTAACCCCGCGGTGTTCAGTCGTCAGGAGAACAAACAGTTAAACCCCGCGGTGTTCAGTCGTCAGGAGAACGGGACGTGGAGAGAGAACCTGAGAGCGTTTACCTCGATGCGGCTTCCTGTCCAGCCTCTCAGAGGTCTTCTTGCTCTCCCTGCTGGCTGGTTTCTCCCAGACCTGCAGACTCTCTCTGCTCTCCAGCCTCTCAAACGGATCTGGAACATCGTCGCCCGTCGCCTCCTTCGCCGTAAGCGCTGGGGTCACCGTGGAGACGGCAGGCTGCATAACCTTCCTCCTCAGGTGGGGTTCAGAGTCGTCGTCCGCGCCGTCACTGTCGCTCATGTCATCGAAGCCAAAGTATTGGATTTTGTAGCTGGACCTGCCGTCTGTGCTGTCGCCGCTGTTTTCCCCCTGATCGAAATCCGTGTCGTCGAAGCCGAACAGGTCGTCCTTTGACTTGGTCTGCTTGGGCCTGACAAGAGAACTGACATCAGACAAGAGGACAGAGGTTTTCTTTCAGTTTATTAAAAGAATGTTTGAATTTTTTATCCCCTTCAGAGAAACAAGATTTAGTGAAAAATGTGAATTTAATGATTTTGTCAGGTCTACAGAGCATCCTTTAGATCTGATCCTTAGAAAATCTACTAGTTATTGTTTCTATTGTAACTATTTTTATGAATTCCCTACAACTTTAAATGTATTTTATTCAAATGTCAACAGATTTAGATTTTTCTTAGTTCTTTATTTATAATGTACGGAAGCGTATTGCATTCAAAGAAAAACTAATTTAATTTAATAAAAGATCTAATAATTATGAGATAATGTCATTCTTAGATCAGGAAGGACAGTCATTGCTGAGCTACGCTACACGAAACATGAACAATGGTTGTCAGATTAATCTGCTTTTATTTCCTTTTAGTGAAATACTGAGTTTCCTCAGTGTGGATGGAAATAGTTTTAGTTTGTCAGCATCGGGCAGTAAGTCCACTCTACTCTGACCTGCTGGAAGTTCCTGCAGGAGCCTTTAAACCAGCACAGGATGCTTTATGGCTCCAAATGATGCATCTGAAACTAGTCCCAGCTGGCTCTGTGGCGACCCAAAGAACCGTTCAGTACCTGCTAAACAATCCGACATCCTTTAAGGTTTGCAGCTGAGGCTTCAGCGTCGTTTAAAACGAACAGGTCCCAAAGTCATGCATGTGGATTCATACGAACAACTAAAACCATAAAGAGTCTGTAAGGAGCTGCTGACTGTTTTTGGCGTACGGTCGCATGGCTGCATGCTTACTGCACTAGTAGTAATCCCAGGGTTATAGCTGCGAACTTTATTTATGAAGTATTAAACTGGAGCGGAGCTCCAACGGGCATCAGGTCAGACCGCGGTACAGAGAACTGCTCAATGGAACAGATGCAGATGATATTAAGAAGTTTTCTTAAATAAGATTTATTTCTGGCTCCATGAGTCATGACCAAATATAGAGATACGCATCTAGTAATTATGAGATAAGCGTTCGTATTTATTTTTCTTGCAATGCAATACGCTCCGTAACAAAGCAGCCAATCTTTTTCATGTAGAAACGGTGGTTCATATATTAGAACAGTTCATGGTCGTCCGTTCAGCAGTGATTTCTAATGTTGTCTTTTTCAGTCTGTGATCCAGCTCTGAACCGCAGCCGGTCAGTCGCCACACAGACCATAACAGTCTTCTGTCATAGTTAGACCTTTCCTGATCCTCCATTTTAACCTGATGCAGCTCCAGTCTGACTGGATTGATGCTAACTGGCATAAACCAGTAATTATTGATTTAACTGGAAATAAAGCGATTCTGTCAGGAACTATTCTGACATCAGCAGCTTAGAAACAGACGAGGACGTGATCTAAGGAGTCCTGGTTCTGCACGCCAACATCCGCTGGTTTTCAAACCAACCACCTGTCCTACCTCGGCTGCTGCGCTTCCGTCTTTTTCCGCTGCCATCCCGTTTCTCCAAGCTCTGCCGTATCTCCTGATGCGCCAACGCTAGGGGGCGCTGCATCGGCAGGGAACTCCTCCCTGCCCCTGTCCTGGTTGGTGACGTTAGTCATGGAAATGGATGAGGGCTGCAGCACTGTGCAGTCCCTCGTCCTGCCTCGGCCCCCTCCCCTGCCTGTTGTTTTGGTCTGGGGGGCTTCAGGTGTGACGCCAAAGGCTGCGTCGTCGAAGCTGCTGGAGTCCGGGGCTTTGCCAAAACCCTGCTTGTTGGGCCTCCTGTACGTCCGGCAGTTGGAGTTCCTTTCCAGCGATACGGAGGCGGATGTCTGGGGGAATTTCTCAGCGGGGGCAGACCCCCCCATTACGTTGTTTCTCTCACCGAGGTGCTGCAGCTGCGGAGGAGACGGGGGCTTCCTGTGTAGGCTTTGCACTGAGTTAAGACCACCGGAACCCCAGGAGAGCGAGGGGGCCGGCTTCCGAGGTTCCTGAACTGGCGACTGTGGGCGGAGCCCCACGATGGCGTCCCAGGAGTCATACGTGGATTCTGCCTTGGAGCCCGACTTCAGGGTGGTGGTCTGGGACAGGGGCTGCTTATCGCTGTCTGAAGCATTCTGGTACCACGAGTAGCTGTGCTGGTTCTGCGGCGACGCCGGGTTCTGCCATGACGTTCCTACAGAGACAAAGATGGCAGGATTAAATCTGCACGACTTCAGGGGAAAACTGAGCAGGAAAATACGCCGAAAAAGAGACGGTGGTTTGGTTCAAGTCCAGACGGGAGGAGGAGGAGGAATACTTTCCTTTTTCTATTAACAGCATCAGGGACGTCTTTACATTCATGCAATAAATAACAACACAGGCAGCAGCATCAGCTGTCTGATCTACTTTCTATAGCTCTAACCCTCAGCTCCAGTTTAAAATCCCCACTGTGCCTTATATAATTAATGTAGATACACTCAAATGAAATACATTAAGTTAATCATTTATGAGCAGATCAAAAAGTGGAGAGCAGAAAATCAAAAGTCTCGATCTGTAGAAA